TAATCCGAAAAAAACACCACTGCGTTTCACAATATCGTTAATTTTCAATGTTATTGGCAATAGCCGTGGGTACTTAGCTGAGGAAATATTCAGTAGATGGAAGCTTTGTAATATTTTATGAAGAGAGCTAATTTAATAGGCTTTTAGGTAATTTATTAGGCAGTTTGGGTTTCGGTACGAGATCTGTAAGTTAAGTGATGAGACTTCAATCTACGAGCAGCAGCACTGGAACATTCTTATTTTTGTTAATCTTTTACTATTTCTTTCAATATGCAACTTGGACATCTTGGTGGACGTACAAAACAACAACCATTCTGGGAATGCCTTCTTATATAATGCCAAAATAACAAGATATGCTTAACCGTCCTCAAAGGAATGAGTGGGAACAGAAGACTGACCTATTAGGAAAATATAGCGTATACACAGATATCATCAAGACCGAAGTTATGTCGAGACTGGTATATTCGTACGGAGGCTGAATACTAAGGCATCAGTCAGCCAGAATGATCGCAGAACGAGAATTGGGATACAATACTATAAATACTTTTCAGATATTCAAGCCGCGCTTCAAGCACTTGACGCCTACTAAATATCGACATTAGTGTGGATTTGTAAAGAACCTCTTTGTAGCATATAAAACAAAAATGATGTCCCTGTCATATAGATACCAGGACACATATATACTAAGTGACATATAAATCCGAACACCCAGTTTAAATGGTTTTATTTTAATAAAATTTTGTATAAGTACTTAATGAAGCATAATGAGTAAATGATAAAAATTTCAAAATGATTGCACTGCTTTAAAGTCTCACGTCTTCACGTGCTCAATTGGGGATAAGTCGGGACATCTTGGTGGCCATGGTAACAATGTGACATCATTATGTTGAAAGAAGGCTATTGTGACTCTTGCAACATGTGGTCGGGCATTATCTTGTTGGAAAGTTGGATCTGCCAGGGTGTCAAGATAGGGTAAAAGATGGGGTTCTAGAACTTCGTGGATATAACGCTGCGCGTTCATGTTACCTCTGATGAAGATTAAAGGTGACCTGGAACCATAAGCTATAGCACCCCAAACCATAACTCCAACAATGTGATGAACATGTCTTTCAACAAAAAACTGTGGATTCCTCCTTTCACTACGTCGCCTTCCAACCCTGGCACGACCATCGTGCATGCCTAAACAAAATCGAGACTCGTCACTAAAGACAATACTGTTCCATTTCTGATCCCAGAGTGACCGTTGTCTGCACCACTCAAGGCGATTACGTCGGTGTTCTCGAGTTAAAGGGAGGACCCAGTGTGGCCGGTATGAAAACAAGCCAAAACTTCTCATTCGTCGGTAAACACTTCGCATGCCAATAGGTCTTCCGTGTTCAGCAAACCATTCATTTGCCATGGGCCTGGTAGTGGAGAAACGGTCCCTTAAGGCCAATAATCTCAGGCGGCGATCTTCACGGTCTGTTGTTCTACGGCGGCGTCCAGTGCCCCTTGCTCTTTGCGTACGGCCTTCTCGAAGCCATGCCTGACAACACCTAACCACAGTGTCTACACTTCTTTGCACTCTAACTGCATTTGCCCGAAAAGAAAGTCCAGCTTCCCGAAGTCCCACTATACGGCCCCTATCAAACTCACTAAGTTGACGAAATCGTACAGGTCTCCGTACTCTAGGCATCGTAACCGATCGTAAAGGATGTCAAGAACCAAAATCCGCCAACGTTGATTCTTTACTGCGGCTGAAATATTCATTTTTAGAGCGTTAGTGAATTAAAAAAAAGCAGTATAAACACCGGAATGTCCAACTGATAAGGCTGAACATTTTTTCACTTGTTATTTACAGTAAGATAAATACATTCACGAACTTTTATTAAAATAAAACCATTTAAACTGGGTGTTCGGATTTATATGTCACTTAGTATATAAGACATTCAGATATCAACTAAACTGTTTTACACGAAATACCCATTTTTTTATTCTGATGTCTTGCAATTGCCAGAGTCAGGAAGTACTCCAAGTCGAAGACCCAAATTAGTTGATCTAATTCCTCAGGAGGTGATAATTCCTGGGAAAAATATAAAATCGCAGAGGAGGATCGTGTTGGACCCAGTCACAAAAAATGTAACCTAACCTAGTCCAGAATGCGGTTGATCTTTGTCACATTGCTGAGGGTCAACTATTAGGGAACTGGGCGCTAATCCCCTTGGACCTAAAAATAGCCAATGCCCACACATCATATACCAACCGCTTAATCCTTATCACTTTGCTTAAACCTAAGTCTGACGTCAAAGATAGACTCCGGTATTGGAAATTAAAATATGACCCTCTAAAAACACCTCTGCCGTCAGATTTCGGCTTCGTGTAACACCGTGAGTCCGTTTATCGTCTTATCAAATGGCGGGACTGCACGGAACGTTTTGCCTTCTTACAGCTGGAACAAGACTATATAACTCAGCGGAGGAAAACCTACTCGTTTGGCAATATACAGGGTGTCCCAGAATAACAGGTTAATCTCTTGTATGAAAAATGTCCTACGGGCTGCTCTACAAGGACGGATGCCTTTGGAAATCGGCGTTTCTTATACATATATATTTGCTGATTAAATGAAAAAACGCCGAGACTCGTCAGAAGATTTGTCAAAGGCGACAACTTTTTAACCCAAAACTACTTTACCACCTTTCACCCTTGGCCCAGCGGGGTCATTCCCTAATAATAATGGCTCATTCTTGGAAAGCCTAATGCCTCAGCTGATCAGATTTTGATAAAATGAGCTTTTTTTGAGAGAAACAGTCTTATGTATGTGTGAATCCCCTACTAGACCCAATCGCCTAAAATCTAATTATTTCTCTTGGGCTATTTTTAGAACACTGCTTCTGGCAGCCCAGTTGATGGAAAACAAGTTGAAAAATTAAGAAAGCATATAATGTAATTAAATCGCCGTCATCATAATCGATACAAACATTATTGGAACAATGACGTTCAGACATCTTTTCGACACAAACAATACCGAAAATAGAGCATAGGACTTTCCTCTAAAATTGCATTTTTGAACATAGCCTACTTCTATATTAAAGCGACGACTAGCAAGCCAAATGCTTTTTGAAAATAAAATCTTTAAGAAACGAAATTATACTAAGTAACATATAAATCCGAACACCCAGTTTAAATGGTTTCATTTTAATAAAAGTTGGTGAATGTATTTATCTTACTGTGAATAACAAGTGAAAAAATGTTCAGCCTTATCAGTTGGACATTCCGGTTTTTATACTGCTTTTTTTTAATTCACTAACGCTCTAAAAATGAATATTTCAGCCGCAGTAAAGAATCAACGTTGGCGGATTTTGGTTCTTGACATCCTTTACGATCGGTTACGATGCCTAGAGTACGGACACCTGTACGATTTCGTCAACTTACTGAGTTTGATAGGGGCCGTATAGTGGGACTTCGGGAAGCTGGACTTTCTCTAGGTGTTGTCAGGCATGGCTTCGAGAAGGCCGTACGCAAAGAGCAAGGGGCACTGGACGCCGCCGTAGAACAACAGACCGTGAAGATCGCCGCCTAAGATTATTGACCTTAAGGGACCGTTTCTCCACTACCAGGTCCATTGCAAATGAATGGTTTGCAGAACACGGAAGACCTATTGGCATGCGAAGTGTTTACCGACGAATGAGAAGTTTTGGCTTGTTTTCATACCGGCCACACTGGGTCCTCCCTTTAACTCGAGAACACCGACGTAATCGCCTTGAGTGGTGCAGACAACGGTCACTCTGGGATCAGGAATGGAACAGTATTGTCTAGTGACGAGTCTCGATTTTGTTTAGGCATGCACGATGGTCGTGCCAGGGTTAGAAGGCGACGTGGTGAAAGGAGGAAACCACAGTTTTTTGTTGAAAGACATGTTCATTACACTGTTGGAGTTATGGTTTGGGGTGCTATAGCTTATGGTTCCAGGTCACCTTTAATCTTCATCAGAGGTAACATGAACGCGCAGCGTTATATCCACGAAGTTCTAGAACCCCATCTTTTACCCTATCTTGACACCGTGGCAGATCCAACTTTCCAACAAGATAATGCCCGACCACATGTTGCAAGAGTCACAATAGACTTCTTTCAACATAATGATGTCACATTGTTACCATGGCCACCAAGATCTCCTGACTTATCTCCAATTGAGCACGTGTGGGATATGATGGGTAGGAGATTGCTCAATTTGCAACGTCCTCCTCAGACTCTAGAAGCACTTCGAGAGGAGTTGGTGGTTGCCTGGAATGAGATACCACAGGAGGACATTGACCACCTGATCAGAAGCATGCCTAGGCGCGTTGGAGAATGCGTAGCACATCAGCGTGCATCCACACATTATTAAAGGTCAAAGGGCTTTAAAGCAGTGCAATCATTTTGAAATTTTTATCATTTACTTATTAAGCTTCATTAAGTACTTATACAAAATTTTATTAAAATAAAACCATTTAAACTGGGTGTTCGGATTTATATGTCACTTAGTATAAATTGAAGGATGTCAAACACTTGCCAACGATAAACCCTAAATTTCATCCTAAATACGCAGCCTATCAGGCTCAAAGACAAGTAGGTTATCGGCGTGTTTTATTTGCCTCTGCCTCTTTAAGTACTGTTCAATAGTCATGATACTGGATCCAGTATTCTGGTTCCACCATTTAGACAATACAGTATTGTTGATAAGACACTCGTATCCGAAAAGTAAGACAGTTTATACAGGGTGATTAAGATATGTTTGCTTTACGTGTTTGTGACTTACTTAGGGTATACTATTTTTAAAATAATCACAGTTGTACAGTACTAGTCTTTGGCATATTATGGATTCTTAAAATTAGAATCAAAAACTCTATCCACAAAAAGTGACAATGCGAATTGTAATAGCAATTTATTTAAAAATCATACTTCATGTAACGCCAGGAAAAATCAAAATAATTCCGTAATCCCTGGGAATAGCTTGTGAGAATTGTTATCTTAGTTTTATTGATATGATTATTTTTCCCCACTCGGACCTCATATCGTTTACCATTTCTGAGATCCTCATAGTGAAGGGTGAATTTGAAACTGTGGTAGAAATTAAGATTAAGATAGTTGTTATTAACATTAGATTAGGTTGTTACCCGATACATTTGAAAAGTACACAAAATATTTCCTTAACAGTATTTTACAGACCGTTCGAATGGTTGATATTGTTTACGATATTCGCAAACTGTGTTGCCTTAGCTGTCTTCACCCCTTTTCCTAATAGCGATTCGAATACTACAAACGCATATTTGGTAAGTACTTTTCTTCCTAATTTTATGTTAACAAGTATATCATAGTTATAGGATACAGTCAGCAACAATCAACGCATCATTATTTTCCATAGACCCACTTTTATTTTTGTAAGAAGTTTAATAATTTATTCAGAACTTAAATAAACTAAGTGATAAAAAAGGTAAACACCTACGATTTTAATAATTTTTGGCATATACAGTACCGAGCAAAAGTGGAGAAAGATTTTATTAAACTATTGAAGTAAACTAAAGACGTATGTTTTATTATAACTTAATGTAACATGTAATTCAAAACCAACATGAAAATAAAATTTCTGCTTTAATAAAACTATGCTAACAATTATAATTAGAAAATACAGCGAGCAAAGATAGAGAAACATATAAAGCAATTGTCGTATACAAAGAAGCTAATACTCGGTTGCATAACCATTATTTTTGATAACTGCTAGACAGCTGTTTCTCATAGAACCAATTAGGCTATCTATTGTTTCTTTTGGAATAGAATTCCAGACGACTTCGATTGTTTCAAATAGTTCGGCAGTATTTTTGAACTTTTCTGGATGTTCAGTCCGAATTTTTCTATCGACTAAATCCCTTAGGTTCTCTATGGGGTTAAGGTTTGGACCCTGAGCTGGCCACTTAATGACATTAATATTGTGTCTGCAAAAAATATTTTTATTATTTTCGCTGTGTGCTCGAACCGCCAGCGTAGAGGCATGTTTTCTTCTGCGTAGCATGGTATCGGTTAATATTTCCAAGTATTTGTACCGGTCCTTAATTCCTTCAATTTTTAACGATGGGTCCCAAGACCACAGAAGCAACCCCATACTTGAACCTTCCCGCCTCCGTGTTTCATTGTGCCCAAAGTGAACTTAGGATCAATCGCTTGTTTTTAGGACGTCTTACCTATAAAATGCCATCCGATGAAAATAAATTGAATTTACTTTCATCAGCAAATAATACAGAATTCCACCTTGCCTAAATAGGATTTAATGCATTTAATTTTTGCCTTTTGTACATGATATCATCATAACAATTGTTCAAAATGTCTTCCTCCAGCCTGAATACACCGATTCAAACGTCGCACATGATTTCGGCTGACTAAAAAATTTTATACTCGTTTTAAATGATTTCAAATGTTGCTGTAATTCGTTCAATTAAGTCTTGCTCTATTTCTACTGGAGTTTCGCAAACCAAAGACTTTACATGTCTCCATAGGAAAAAATCTAGCGACGTTAAATCGGTGTATTCATGGAAAGATGTAAAAATTGTTGAATTCTAATAAACATACGTAGGCGTTTACCTTTTGTTGTCACTCAGTATATCTTCAAATGCTATGCTAAATTAAAAGCAAAAAAGGCATTAACGCACAGCATATTTACACAGGAAATCATCTTTAAGAATTCTGTTTGATCCTAATCACAGTCAAGGGTTCGTAGGTAACGCCCCAAGAGTTGAATCATAAACGGTACAGATATGCTTGCTAATAAGTTAACATTGACTTCGCTTTTCGATTTTGAATACACATATTACATAGATCATGTAAATGCTAGAAGTAGCTTCATTCAAGTTAAAGTGAATATCGAATATGGCGTTGATTCTTGCAGACTGTTTTAACTATAAGTATAGGATAGAAAAAATACCTTTGGATCTACCTCCTAATAACAATGGTCACATAAGGCAGATACGAGTTATATGTTAGCTGTTACGTTAATTGTTTTTGAGTATTGCTTTAATTACATACATGACTTGGAAAATTTGGTTATTTTATTAATCGCGCCACCAAAAAGCCGCGGAGGTAAAAATGCGGGGCAGAAAGCTTAAATTAAACTAAACTTTACATTGTAAATGCAAAGTTTCCACTTGAAAAGAAATATTAAACCCCACGTTGAAAATATAATTTCTGAAACTCTTTGTTAGTCATAATTATTTCAAAGATAAAATTGAATACTCCTGCTCTTAGGCTGAATTCAGTTAATATAGTCTAAACTCTCTACAAAAACTTGAAAAGCGTGAATTTACAAAATTTACGCTATCGGAGAACCGAGCATATGAAACTCATATCTACAGGGTGACTTCGAAGTTGAGTCATTTATTTTAACAGTGAGTAGATCTGATCAAAAGAAATGTTTTTTTCCTTTACCATTTTTCTGGTAAAATTAAAGTAACAAAGTTATAGCCCTTTGGAAGTTTGAGTACCGCCCTGTCTCAATAATAATATCATGTACTCGTGTTTGGCAACAACGGATATAATCCGCCTTACCGGTTCATCGCATCGGAAACAAAAAAGCGAAAGAATTTGGAACGACGTTTTTGCAATTAAGTATTTTATTCAGTTCAGTTATACATACAGTCGGTTAGCGTGTGAATAGTGTCTGTTGCGTGGCTCAAACGAAATAAAAAATGGCACATGTTTATGCGGATCGGTTTCCCAATCGAGTGCAACCAACCCCTCGTGCCTTTGTTAATGTAGTACAACGGGCTCGTGAATCAGGTGACTTGAAGACCTCACAGGGGACCTCACGATCAAATACAGGTCCGCACTGAAATACTTGTCGGGAGGATACTTTATAAAACAAGGTAAAAATTTTTTTTTAATTTTTTTTTATTTTTACACACATATTCTGGTTTATCTTCCTTCTACAATCATTATCTGAAAATTAATGACTCAACTTAAAAGTCACCCTGTATATACCTAGATTTAAAAAATAAAAGTTTCCCATGGTAGGTCCACCCCGTCAAATCTAATTTTCACAAAAAAATATCCTATGTAAAATAAAAAACAATTTCTTTTAATATCTTCAAGACCGTCAACTTAAATGATCTAAAATTTGGTATGTGGGTTTACCTAAGTATTATCCACATTCAAAAGTATTTACTAAGAATTGACGTGCACCAGTGGCGGAGATACAGGGGATTAGTGGCATAGTTTTTCCAAAAAAATAGCAGGCCACTATTTTTTTCGATGTTACCTTTAATTTGCTACGAACAAATTACTCTCGTGTTTTTTCCTACAGTGCACTGTTTTCGTAAAAATTCAAATTAGATCATTCATGAAGAGCTTGACGTTTCTTGGGAGAGTTTGTCAAAGTTATGTGTTATAGATACGGTTGTTATCGATACAACTACCATTTTTTCTTTTGTAAAAGTCAAGTCAAAAGCTTCTTTTCTTTATGTTTGAGAGTTGTGAAATGGAATTTAGCAAATGATGAGTCCGCCGATATTATGCACGGGTTCTGTAATGGAAATGTTTTAGCGGCTTTTTAATAATAATAATAATATATTCATTGCCATACAGATTCATCCATTTAAAGGACAATATAACTGAATACAATTTGACGTTACAGTATTTTTAACTTTAATATATATATAATAATCTGAGCATATATTTTCAAATCATCGGCAAACAACAGAGAAGGACAGGTTAGGCAGTTAGCGAGGTCATTGATAAAAGGAAGGAAGTTGAAGATTTGAAACCATTGTAAGAAACGTACTGATTTCTATCACTATACCTATGATTCTTTGGTGACTAATCTTATCGAAGGCCTTTGAGAAATCCATATAGACCACATCTAGGACCTCTGCAATTTCCTGGGTGATTTCAGTTAGGATAGAAATATTAGAACGATTGCGCATAAATCCATGTCGCGTCTCAGTTATCAGATGCGAGGTCAAACGATAGATGTAGTTGTATACAGACATCTCAAATGGCTTACCAAAATTATCCAATATAGATATAGCTCGGTAATTTTCGATTTGGGGTCCCAGCTTTAAAAATAGGGCACACTAGCCAGTTTCCATTTTGTAGGAAAAGTTGCTGTACTGTTAGTTGAATGTTTACCATTGATCGCTATGGAGTCGTATTCGATTGAAGACCGCATTAAAGTTATTCAAGAGCACTTCAAAAATGGTGCAAAAATAAAAAACACGTTTCGCGCGCTTCGTGAACATTTCGGTCGATACAACCGCCCAAACGGGCGACTGGTGCGTAAATTCGAGGCAACAGGTTCTGTGGCAAATCTGCCACGCTCTGGCCGGCCAAGGAGCGTTCGCACACCGGAAAATATTGCTGTTGTGAAGGAGAGTGTGAGAGATGATCCATAACAATCAACAACGCGTCGATCCCAAGAATTGGGCATTTTGAGAACCAGTTTGCTCCGCATTCTCCACAAGGATTTGAATGTACACGCCTACAAGATCCAATTGACGCAAGAGCTGCGTCGGGCCGACCATTTTTCGCGCCGAACGTTCTCAGATTGGCTCCTTGAACACCGCCAAATTGATGCCAATTTTTCATCAAAAATCATGTTCAGCGACGAAGCGCATTTCACTTTAAATGGGACGGTAAATAAGCAAAACTGCCGCATCTGGGAGAACGACAATCGCCGTGAGTATCAAGAGCAGCCGATGCATCCTCAAAAAGTGACTGTGTGGTGTGCATTGTGGTAAAAAGGCATCATCGGACCTTACTTTTTCGAAAATGCGGCCGGGGACGCCGTTACCGTCAATTCTGAGCGATATCACGTGATGATAGAGGACTATTTTTCACTTTTTATTTTTATTATATTTCAATATCCATCGATTGCAGTCCTTCTTCGGTGATCGCGTGATTTCGCGCAGAGGAAATGTGCCATGGCCACTAAGATCGTGCGATTTGACTCCCTTGGACTTCTTTTTATGGGGATATTTGAAAAGCAAAGTCTACGTCAACAAACCAGCCACCCTCCAAGAACTCAAAAACAACATCATTGCCGAGATAAATGCCATAGAACCGACCATGTTGCAAAATGTCATTGAAAATTTCGACCATCGCGTGGACGTCTGTAAATCCAGTCGTGGTGAACATTTGAGCGATATTATTTTTCATACATGAATGGTATAATTGAACCTTCAAAATAAAGTACCCAACTTGATTTGAATTTCAATCTTTCTTGTTTTAATATGCGTTTTGGACAACCCCGTACAAACTTACATACATACAAATATATGTGTAGATACAT